CTGAAAATATGGCCACCTTATTGACACAGATGAGTATACTCACCAAAAAGGTGGAAGAGTCAGGGCAGAAACAGCAGGTACACATCGTAGATACTACCAATAGGGGTTTGTGCGCATCTTGCATTAGTCAGCCAATCGGTAACCAATGGAATGCAGAACATGATCATCACTACTACCCTGAAGACATGAATTATGTGTCTAATTATGGAGGCCAGAGACAAGGTGGTCAGAATTGGGCCCAGCAAAATTAGCAATACAGGCCAGTCCATCCACAGTTCAACAATGGAAACATGAGAGGTATGGGACCCCCTAACAATATGGCACCTTACCCAAGGCCACGTGGATATAATAATTAGTATCAACAGCATAGGTATCACCCTCCTCAGCAGCAACATGGTGGAAGGCAGAAAGATGGGTTTGCTAGACTTGAGGCAATGATGCAACAGGTTATTAGGTCTAATGCAAATATTAATGAGGGAGTGGATGCACATGATGCATCAATCAAGAATATTGAAGTGCAGGTTGGCCAAATTTCTATGTCTCTGAGCAATCGTCCTCATGGGACACTACCTACAGACACCCAGATAAATCCAAAAGATCAAGGCCCAAAGCAGCTGATGGCGGTAAGTCTACGTAATGGCAGAGATCTGGATGTAGAGCAAGAGAGAGCTCAAGAAACTAGACAAGCTGAGACACTTATACCAGTGCCCATTGAGTTGGATGAGTCAATAAAACTGACGGAGGTGCCAGTCCAGCCCGCCCAGGAAGAAAATAGTATCCATAATGCGACCGAGAAAGAAGTTGAGACAGTCCATGAACCAGTAGTTGATGTAGCAGCTAATAAGGATCAATCCCAGTTGATTGGGAAGAAGAGACCTCCTGCACCTTTCCCTCAGAGGCTGGCTAAGTATCAAAAGGAGGAACGATACAAGAAGTTCTTCGAAATGCTGAAACAAATCCAGATAAACATACCATTGATTGAAGCTTTGAAGGAGATGCCTGAGTATGCAAAAATGATGAAGGACTTGATGTCCCGAAAGTTTGATTTCCAAGACTTGGCCACAGTTACTCTTACTCAGACATGTAGTGCAGTGGTGACTAGACCAATTTCAAAAAAGCTATCTGATCCAGGGAGCTTTACAATTCCATGCACTATTGATAATTTTGCTTTTGCTAAAGTACTGTGTGATCTAGGGGCCATCATCAATCTTATGCCCCTGGCGATTTATAAGAGGTTGGGCATTGGAAGAGCTAGACCCACCTCTATGTTGTTGTAGCTGGCTGACATGACAGTGAAACGACCCTCTGGTATACTGGATGATGTGCTAGTTCAGGTAGGGAAATTTGTGGTCCCTGCAGATTTTGTGATCTTAGACTGCAGAGTGGATAAAGAGATTCCCATAATTTTGGGAAGACCATTCTTGGCCACAGGGAGAGCTGTCATTGATTGTGAAACCGGGGAGCTCAAGATGAGATTGAACGATGAGGAGATAACATTCAATGTGCAGAAATCTACGAGGCGACCAAGTGAATTCGCCAATTGTTCTCTTATTGATGCCGTGGATGTAATCGTGGAGACTGATGATGAGGTGCTAACCATTGAGGACCCCCTTGCTGCATGTTTGATGAATTTGGATGAGGTGAAT